AGGAAACACAAAAATGAAGCTACAAACTGTTGTTACAATTAAAAATAGTTTTTATAATTGCCCATTTATTTATCTTTATTGAGATCTTTATTTCTTTATGTGGCTTCAAGTTACTGTCCAGTATCCTTTCATCCTCTAGGACTCCCTTGAGCATTTCTTACAGGGCAGGTTTACTTCACTATCTTCCCAGAATCCTTTATAATGGCTTCTTCCAGTAACTTTAATTTTGGATTTATATATTTGATTTGAAGCTGTATATTTTTGAAAAGAAAGGTTTAATATTAATATTTATAATTTTTAAATATGCAGCACACCATTTATTTTGGTCTTGCAAATGTTGGGAATATATTTGGATACAAATAAAAAGAAATTTGACTCATTGTGGCTGTTTTAGTCAGTCTTCTTTAAGAAAAAGAGAACCAATAGGATACACACACACACACACACACACACACACACACACACACATATAGTTTTATTATGAGGAATTGGCTCACATGATTATGGAGGCTGTGAAGTCACAAGATCCATAGCCAGCAAGCTGGCTGAATCAGTTAAGCTATATTCACAAAGTTATACAACCATCCATCACTATCCAATTTTAGAATATTGTCATCATCCCAAAAGGAAACCCCATAGCATTCACTGCCCATTTTCCTCTCTCCTGACCAGCTCTAGGCAACCTAAATTTTACTTTTTACCTCTACCAATTTACCTATTCTAGACACTTCATATAAGTAGAATTTTACAGTATGTGGTCTTTTTTTACTTCTTTCACTTAAGATAATGTTTTCAAGTTTCATCCATGTTGTATCATGTATAAAAACATAATTTTTTATTACTGAATAAGATTCCATTGTATGGACATACAATTTGTTTGTCCGTTCGTGAGCTAATGGACATAAGGTTGTTTTTTACCTTTGACTATTATTAGTAATGCTGCTATGAACGTTTATGTGCAAGTCTTTGTGTGAACATATATTATAAATTCTCTTGAATATAGACCTAGTAGTACATGTTTCACTTTTTAAGGGACTGTCAAATTGTGTTTCAAAGTGGCTATACCATTTTACATTCCCATCAGCAATGTACAAGCATTCAGATTTTTCCACACCCTTGCCAATACTTGTTTTTATCTTTTTGATCATAGCCATCTTAGTGGGTATGAAGTGACATTTCATAGTGGTTTTTTTTCATAGTGGTTCTAATTTGCATTTTCCTGCTGTCTAATGATATTAAGCATCTTGTTACATGCTTATAATCTGTATACTTTACTTGAAGAATGTCTATTCATATTCTACCCATTTTTTAATTGGATAGCCATTTTATTTTTGAGATCTTAAGAGGTCTTTAGATATTTTAGATACAAGTGCCTTATCAGGTATATGATTTGCAAAGTTTTTCTCCCATTCTTTATGTTTTCTTTTCTCTTTTTGCTGGTGTCTTTTGAAATCCAGAAGTTTACAATTCTGATAATTCAATTTATCTATTTTTTTCTTTTGTTGCTTGTGATTTGGGTATTGTATCTAAGAAACAATCACTTACCCAAGGTCATGAAGTTTTATAGTTTTAGCTCCTACATTTAGGTCTGTGATTAATTTTTTAGTTAATTTTTGTATATGTTGTGATACGTGAATACAACTTTATTCTCTTACATGTGGTTATTTGGTTGGCCCCAGCACTGTTTCTCTGAAAATATTTTTCTATATCCACTGAATTGTCTTGGCACCTTTGTTAAAAATGAATTGGCCATTCTTTTAAAGGTTTATTTTTGGACTTTAAATTCTATTCTATTGATCTACCTATCCTTATACCAGTACCACACTCTCTTGCTACTATAGTTGTTTTTTTTTTTTTTAATCATGAAGGAGTGTTAGATTTTGTCAAATGCTTTTTCAGCATCTGTTGGGGTGATCATGTGGTTTTTGTCCTTTTATATTATGTGATAAATTACATTCATTGATTTTTGGATGTTAATCCAACCTTGCATTTCTGTGATAAATCTCTCTTGGTCATGATGTATAATCCTTTTCATTTGTTGCTGGTGTCAGTTTGCTTGCATTTTGTTGGATAGTTTTGGGTTTTTTTTTTTTTTTTTTGCATTTATATTTAGAAAAGATGTTGGTCTGTAGTTTTCTTTTCTTCTGATATCTTTATCTGGTTTTGATATCAGTAATAGTGACCTTGTAGAACAAGTTGAAAAATGTTCCCTTATCTTATAGTTTTTGGAATAGTTTATAAAGAATTGGTATTAATTTTTAAATGTAATTGTTTTGAGTTTTTATGGCTTCCTTTATAGTATACCCTTCGCTATTGTTAAATTGCAAGCAGGGTTATAAATGGAGACAGAAAGATATTGTTTAATGCTGATCATTTCCCTATAGAACAATTGATAGCAAAGGTACAGTACTCCAAATAAAAGTGTTGAGTCTTTATTCTGCCTACTTCTACTATACTACAGTGCTGGATATTGCACCACTGGGGGACGCTCTTAATTGCAGAAACAAATTATAAAGCTTTTATATTTTGAATTCAGAACCATAGTTGGAAGATGCCTTTCAGTGCTATTTTCTTCAGTGGAGCCATGTTAGGTACTTGCCTAACTTACTGTCCCCACTTTAAGAACTCCTACCTGTAGCTTACTGGTACAAATTTGTTTAGAACTATCATTTAAACAAAAATGAGCAAGGATGAGAGAGAGAGCGAAGCTGGGGGGGTTGGACCAAGAAATAGACTCTTAACTCTAGAGAACAAACTTTGGTTTGATGGTTACTGGAAGAGGTAGGTAGAGGGAGGGGTTAAATAGGTGATGGGGATTAAGGAAAGTACTTGTTGTGATGAGCACTGGGTGTTGTATGGAAGTGTTGAATCACTGTATTATATACCTAAAACCAATATTACACTGTATGTTAACTAACTGGAATTTAAATAAAAACTTAAAAAAAAAAGACTGCTGTGAAGTGTTATACTTCTTAAGTAAGAAAGTCTGAGAACAGGAAAGTTTGTTGAATCCCAGACATCATGTAAGGTAATCCAAACAATAAATGTTTAGATTGTCTTCCTACGTGTTTCCAAGTACCTTTGGTCTTTAGTCACTGTCAACTCAATGGGAAAAATTAACATTGAAGAAATAATAATAGCTAATGTTTACTAAATAATTACGATGTGCCAAACACTGTTTTAAGTTCTTTACATATACTATATCTTTTGTCTTCATAGCAATCTTATGGAGTCAATACTAATATTATTCTCCACTTTACAGATGTGAAAACTCAGAAACAGAGAGGTCATCTAAGTTGCTTCATGTCGTGTGGGTAGAAAATGGTAGAGCCAGGATTTTACCTAGGTTATGTGACCCCATAGGCCATCTTGAACCAGGAGTTAGGGTAGATTAGGCATATTCCAGAGCAGGGATTCAATCCAGGGTTTCTGTATTACAATTTTTGAGTTTATAAGTCCTTTGTCCCTCTCTTGATGAAGACTAACATTTTCAGTCAACATTTAAGAAATGTTCATAAAGGAAGTGCTAAGATGGTTCTAAGGATTTGAAATTAAACAGTCTCTCTCTACAGGGATGATGTAATAGACAAGTTAACAAAATAAATATTTAGCATTTATTGAGTGCTGTGTTTCATGCATGGCAAGTTGACTCACTTGTATAAATTCACTGAATCTGCAAAATAACTCTATGAATTAAGGATGTATTATTATTATCATTTTTATTTATAGATGAAGCCACTGAAACAAATATATATAACTTGCTCAAGGTCAATTAGCAATAAGTGCCATAGCCCAGGTTTGAACCTGGATGGTCTTGCTCCAAAATCTCTGTTCTTAATCATTTTGCTATGCAGTTTCTCTAAGGAAGTAAATAGTCATCTGACATTGTCACAACAATGCAGTCACACCAAGAAGGCAGTGATAAGACTGGAACATTGTGTTTATACATGTGGAGGTTGGAATCACTTCTGTAGGAGAGAAATGTGTTGTGGCTGAGAGGAGGAGAAAGGCTTTTTCTGCAAATCTGAGACAACCTGAGACAAACATGGAAATAAGGAAAGAAAAATTACTTTTAAAAGGGAGGCCATTAGCTTGTGCTTTACCAGAAGATGGGAATGCACTGATAGGGTGTGGTGCACACTTTGGAGCTGTGCCTGCTTGGTCCTGAGGGAGCTGTGGTTTGGGAGGGTTTAGAGTTGTGCCTCACGAGTGGAAAGGGTCAGTTTGAAAGAACAATTTTAGAAAGTGAGTTTGATAAACTCAATTAGCATGTATAGAGGTTGAACCAACAATAGATGAATAGAAACATCAATTACAAGTGTTTTTAGTAATCTAAGAAGCACCTGGAAATTAGCAGGAAAAACTTGACCATAGGGGCAATATTTCTTTCTTAGTGCCAAAATTGTAATAGTTGTCTCTTTCTTGTGGCAGTAACATCAGGGAGCAGGGTTTATTCAGCACTTTTCTTCATGGACACACAAGCATGTCCCATTGTCCTAGTTTTCCTGCAAGGTGCCCTACCGTCTCTGTGTGTATGAGTGAGAAGAAAACGTGCCCAGAGCTGTCAGTGACCAGAAAGCTGGATGTGTATGGGCAGTTTTCCTCCAGATGTGTGGGTCCTCTGGTCTGCAGCCTTGAGGGACTTGAGAGCTTTCTTGGTCTCCTTGAACACTTGCATTCACTCACCTCTTGGTCATGAAGGCACTGTTAATGTTCTTTTGAATTTGAGGAAACTTGCAACTTTAAAGGATCATCACATTATCAAAATAAATGTCATGTAATGTTTTCAATGAGATGATTGTAAAGTTGAGGTTTCTAAGTTATTTTTTACCAAAAGGAAAAATTATATTCAAAAGCAAATAATCCAGTATTGCCCACCCATCATATTTATCATATGCAAATGGAAATCAGTGAGAATCAAATGTCAAATACAGACACTTAAAAAATACTTTTGGTCCGTTTTTACTTTTAAGATGACCTGGTGCCTTCTTTTTCTCAAGTCCTCACACAGGTATTCAGGAATACCAAGATGGTGTGCCAAAAATCCCAACAGCCTGTATTACAGTGGAAGATGCAGAAATGATGTCAAGAATGGCTTCTCGTGGGAACAGAATTGTTATTCAGCTGAAGATGGGGGCAAAGAACTATCCCGATGCTGATTCCTTCAACACTGTAGCAGAGATCATTGGCAGCAAGTACCCAGAGCAGGTGAGTCAAGGAAATGGATGGGCTGTCTTGGAGTAGGGTTTCATGGTCAAGTGTCAGTTTTTAGAGATGGTTGGGGAAAGAGAGAACCTGAATCTGCAGAGATGGTCCTTATAAACTCATTAATGGCAGGATCTTGGTATATATTTTTTCCAACCAAAAGTTCTACAACATATTGAAGGGTGGAATAGGATCCATGGTGTGGAAACTCAGCCTCTGAATAGCTGAGGGCACTACTTGTATATATGTGTTGTGTTTATTCCAACTGGAGCCAGGTTAGTATTTGAGATCATACCAATAGCTAATAGTTACTGTGCCTATTGTATGTATGGATTATGTTATTTGATTCTTTCAACATTTAGTAAAGTTGGATTTATTTTCATCATTTTATAGGTGAGGAAACTAATGTAGAAGGTAGCTCAGGTGCCTAATGTCCACACAGCTAGTAAGTGGCTGGGAAAGGACTGAAACCTAGGACCTTATAAATGTTAAACCAGGTTTTATTTTATTTTATTTAAAAAAATTTTTTAAGTCTATTTGTTTATTTTGAGAGAGAGAGAGCGTGAGTGGGGGAGGAGTTGAGAGAGAAAGAGTGAGAGAGAGAGAGAGAGAGAGAGAGAGAGAGAGAGAGAGAGAATCCCAAGTAGGCTCCACACTGTCAGTGCAGAGCCCGACATGGGGCTTGAACTCAGGAACTGTGAACCAAAATCAAGAGTCAGACGTTTAACTGACTGAGCCACCCAGGCACCTCTAAACCAAGTCTTAGACTGCAGTAATTTCCAAAAGTATTTATTTTTCCTTGCAACACTTGAAAATCAAATAGTACTAGAGGCAGATCCATACTCTATGCTAGCTGAAGGTTAAATAAGTTTGGCAAGTTACTTATTGTATAAGTCTTAGAGAACTTCCCCTCAAAGACAGAATGGTATAGGTAACTTACCAGGATGATCATGAGAACTCGATTAGCCTAGCACGTCAAATAGCCAGCACAGTGTTTGGCACGACATGGCACTCATTGAATGTAAGTTTACCTCATATGGCATCAAATGTACAAAAAGAAAAAAAAAAAAAACAAAACCAGTTTTGATAAGGTGTCTGGTATAAATTTCCTCTATTAATAGCTACTGAAATTCTAAAGTAGCACTTAAAGGAAGTTATTCCAGAATTTCAGACTTATTTTTGCTTAAGGAGATCAATGGGATGATGGAAAAAGTGAATAGTGATAGAGAAACAAACCTTCCATACATGTCTTAACTCAGGACCTCTCCCAGACTTAAGGGCTTTGCTGCAGTAAAGGTTGGTTTTATGTTCGGGACCCTTTTCTTCCTTCCCAAATCACTTTCAGGACACGGGCATGCATCAGCTTTGGGGTTGTAGCCACAGGGATGATTGAAAAGCAAGATCTCGGTGGTACCATAGGGAGTCAAATAGCTGTAGAGAAACTCTAGTTTCCAACATTGAAAAAGCAAACAAACAAGTCCCTTGCCCTTTAGGGAACTGGTAACAACAGAAGAATCCAGAGTCTATATTCCAGCCAATAGGTAGTCAGACCCCTTAATGTGTAACCTTACCAGGTGTTTTCCCCAGTCAGTAGTTCCAGGATCTACTGGAAAAAGTGTTGCCATTTTTAAGGCTGTTAGTACAGGGCAGGAGGGGTTTAGGATTATCTGTGATCAGTTGTCTGGGTGAGCAGGCTACTCTGGCCCCTAGCCTGGGTGGCAAGATGAGTGAGTTATGGGGACCCTTAGTCTGAAACAGCCAGGAGGTATCAAGGTCTGAGTTAAATCATTAAAGTAGAAGAGTTTCTGGGCATCTTCGAGCTGGGAATGCTCAGTCTGGCTACTCCTCAGTCTGGCATGATTTTTTTTTTTAAATCAGCTTTATGGAAGTAAAATTACATAAATTTACCAAAGTTAAGTTACAATTCAGTGAGCTTTGAAAAATGTATGCAGTAATGTAACTACTGCAATAATCATAATATAGAATATTTTCATCGCTCCAAACACTGCCTTGTGCCCCTTTGCTGTCCATCTCCTCCTCCACTCCCCTGCCCCATGGTAACCACCGATCTGCTTTTGAGAACTATAGTTTTTTCTTCTCTGGAATTTCCAAGGAGTGGAATCACAGAATCTGTAGTCTTTCCTCTGTGGCTTCTTTCAGTCAGCATACTGCTTTTGAGATTATCCACATTGTTTTACCAATTGTCCATTCGTTTCTATTGCTCCTGAGTGATATTTTAATTGCATGGATATACCACAATTTGTCTATCCATTCAGCAGTTGTTGCACATTTGGGTGGTTTCTAGTTTTTGACTATTATGAGTAAAACTTATGTGACTATTCTTATACAGTCTTTCCGTGTACGCGTGTCTTCATTTCTCCTTGGGTAAATGCCTAGGAGTGGAATTGCTGGGCCAGCCTGAATATGAAGCAATCTGGTCGCCATCAAGTTGCCTCCATCTCTTAATTCTGTGCGGTAGACTGTTTAGGTGGGTAGATTCCAGAGAAGTGGGTCATAAGTACACTGTTACCAAGATATACAAGGTAGAAGATTAACAGAAGCTCTTCCATAAAGAAGTTATGCTATTACTTCCACGGAAGGAATGTGGATGAGTGTAGTGAAGTCCATGTGACTGTTTTGGGGGGGGTGGGGGTGGGAATCTGCCTTATAGTCTGCCCAAAACTGCAAGGGATGCCCAGGTTGTGAAGGGAAGCAGCAAGCATGTATCATTCCCCCCCAGGCATCAGTGAGTTAAGGAACCTGAGTAAGCACAGTCTATCCCTGATAAATGCTATCTCTTCCAAGAAGCTTCCTTTGGTAACCTTCACCTCATCCCGGCACTGTGTGCTGTTATGATATCATTGTTACGGTGTCATCTTCCCGCCAGAGCTTGCAAATGCCCTGAGCAGACACAATGTTTACTTTTTTTTTTTTCCTTGCTTTTCACTAATGCCTATCTCAGGACTTGGCATGTAGTAGCTTCTCGAAAACATATTTTGTTTCAGTAAAGTGAAAAGAGGAAATGAAGGAGAAAATGTTTGCAGAATTTTCTTAATCCTTTAATATCTAGAAGTTCTCCTGCCGCATTCAGATTATCCATTGGCATATTGGACATCACTCCTAAATGCAGCTCTGTATGTCCAAACCTGAACAACTCAACTCCCTCATGCCTGATCATTTGCCTTAGTTTCTCATCTCTGTGAAAGGAACCATATTTACCTGTCAGCCCGTTTAGAGAATGTCACAGTATCTTTCATTGTCTCCTCTTTATCACTGTTCTACAGCCTGGTACCACATCCTTTTAAGTCTACTTTCTGCATATTAAAAAAAATCTGTCCATCTTGCCTTTACTGTAATGATTGTCCTAATTTAGGCCCTTGCTCTTCCCCCCATGATTTTTTTCTTCTAATATCTCCTCTATTTCTGTATTTTTGCAGTGTAGCTCAGAGCTATCTTACAACACTGATCTCCACATGGTGTTTCCCTGCTGTCAGGCCCCCTCTCCTGTTCCTATAAGATAAAGGTTATGATAAAGATAAATACTCAGTTATGAGTAATCAGAGGTGAGCAGAAGACAAAGGAAAAGAGACAAAGGGGGAAGAATTTGGGCAGGTTAAAAGGAAGGCAGTTATAGGTGAGAGGAAATTATGTAGTCCTGTTCATAAATGAGCAGAAAATGAGAATGAAGGAGGGGAAGGAAATTTATAATGGAGACTCAAATGCCAACTAAGACCTATTTTTTTCATTGACTGGTGAAGGAGTCTAGCTCTCCTAAACTCTGGCAAACTTTCCTAAAATCACTCAGTACCAGTGATTTAATTATCAGTACAGTAGCCCCACCTTATCTGCAGTGTCACTTGCCACAGTTTCAGGTACCTTTGGTCAGCCAAGGTCAGAAGCAGATGATCAGAAGGTCACGAGTAGCCTAGGGCTACATCACATACCTGCGTCATTCTCCTTACTTCATCCCATCACGTAGGCATTTTATTATTGTACATCATCACAAGAAGAGTGAATATAGTACAATAAGATATTTTGAGAGGGACACAGAGACATTCACATAACATTTATTACCATATATTATTATAATTGCTCTATTTATTACTGTTGTTAATATCCTACTATGCCTAATTTATAAGTTAAACTGTCATAGGTATGTATGTATAGGAAAAAATATAGTATATATAGGATTTGATGCTGTCTGTGGTTTCAGGCATCCACTGGGAATCTTGGAATGTGTCCCCGATGGATGAGGGGGGATTGCTGTAATGGCGACAGTGATATAAATGTTGATGGTGCTGGTTTAGGTTGACTAACGTGTCTCTGACACATGCTGAGCAAATTAGTTGCAATGGAATTATCTCTAAAAAGGAGAGGGTTTATTGCAGCTATTATTCTGCTTTCAGGTCAGACATCCTGGGTGGCTTAAAGAAGTGCCTCTTCAGTGCGAACACCCAGCACAGCCCTTTAAGTCTCATTTTTTGTTCACAGCACCTTAATGAAAGAAAAACAATTAACACATAAAGAATCCTTCTGATCTGGCCCAAGAACCATGGACAAGGTGTGGTGACTTTCTGCTCTAGAAAAGCACATATGTGATTGATGAAGCATTAATACTTTACAAAACCCTATTGCATAGTAGGGCCATAAGCCTGTACTGAATTAACCAACCACAGGCGTTTAAAAACACCAGTAATACAGATAGTTTATTGGGTTTCGATATATGAAAATGCCAGAGTAGGGCTATTATACACATTACTTCTACCGTCTTCCTAAACAACCCACAGTGGCATGTTTTGGCTCCTCCAAGCCTAGAATTCTCTCTGTACTTCAACCTCCTCAAAAACTGTTCTTCTGTGGTTAGGGCATATTGTGGAGAATTCAGCAGACCTTGAACATGCTGAGGAGGTGCATTTCATGGGCAGAAAACAGTCTTCTAGAAGCTCTGACCTTAGGTCTCTGAACTCCTTTCTCTCAGACAGCTTTATTCCTAGGAAACCATG